TTTTTTTTTTTTTTTATGGGCTGGTGGGTCAGCCCGGCTCACCACGGGTTGAACCCGGGTGAGCCGGGTTGTTAGTGGGCCGGGTTTAAAATTGGCCCACACTGAAATTTGCAAATTTTTTTTAGCCCAACCCGGCTCGAACCCGTGGAGGGCCGGGTTGGCTCACCGGGCTGAGCCCATTTTGACAGCTCTATGTTAAATGATGACGTGACAATCAGACTGCTACATTATCACCCAACAGTGTATGTTATATCAGCACACATAACTACCTCATTCTTTACGTAAATTGTCACGTCATATTTGAATTTTTTTTTAAAATAATTAGTTTCCCAAACCCCCCTCATTCTCCTCCGCCGCGCGCAACGCCTCCTCCAACCGCGGCAGCGCCGCCTCGCTGTCGCCAGACCGGTCCATCAGGAGCGCGTGAGTCCAACAATACACCTAAACTCGTGAATCACCCCTCTCTCTCTCACTCTCTCTCTCATGGCTTCTCAGCAACACGACGCCGTTTTCCGCGAAGAGGACATGGACGATGACGACGAGTCCCAGGAGGATGAAGAATACAAAGAGGACGATGACAAAGAAAACGAACCCTCTCTCTATGCCTCCGCCACTCTCGCCGTTACCGTCGCTGTCCCCGCTTCCTCCGTCTCCAACGGCGCCCACGCCCCGATGTCGGCGCCCTCCGCCACCACCGTTGTGGACCGACGAAGATGAGATCGAGCTCCTGCAAGGCTTCCTCGACTACACCTCACAGCGAGGATCCTCTCAACACAACGACACCGCTCTGTTCTACGACCAAATCAAGTTGAAGCTCCAACTCGATTTCAACAAGACATTGGCTGCGGCAAAGGAGGCTCTAGCTGCGGCGAAGGAGGCGCTGCGTGGTGGCTTCAGCGTTGCTCTTGAGCAGGTCGGCGAGCGCAGTGGGGGCTTCAGGGTGGCAGCGGAGTACAGGTACGGACGGGGAATTGGAGGGCGACGGTGGCGAATATGGCGGCGCCGGCGAGCGTTTTGAGGTTAGGGAATGAGGAAGGTTTGGGAAACTAATTTTTAAAAAAAAATTAAATATGACATGGCAATTTACGTGGAAAATGAGGTAACTATGTGTGCATATACTGTTAGATAACGACATATACTGTTAGATAACGACGTGACAGTCCATTTACCAAGTCATTATTTAACAAAGAAGACTAAAATAAGTACTAAATTAGAAGAAAAAAAATATTAATAAGATAATTTTAAAAAAAATTAAAAGTAATAATATAAAAATTGAACTAATTTGAAATATTTAAAACATATATAAACCATATATCTATGTACTAATAGTATTATGTATGATAATATATATCAAGAAAAGTTCAAGTTTCAAGTGGATTAAAATTATATATGGCCAAAATAGTACTATACATATTGGGTGGGGTAACCCTTATGATATAGACTAACTTTTGGGGTTATGGCCCAATGTAAATTTTGATACTATATCCCATACCGGCTTGTACCCAATTCTATATCAGTTTTTGAGACTTGTATTTTAGACGGAGGTGCTACCAATCATATTCAACAAAATTTTGCACAAAATTTTATTATATTTAAAAACAAATTGTGAACTTACAAATTATTATTCAACAAACTCTTAAATAATTCCAAAAAAATATATTAAAATAAAAATAATTTTAAATTTTTTTAAATTATTTGTATTAATTGTATATGAGCAATTCAAAAATAAAGGAAGATCAAATAATAGATAGAAAAGAGGCATGTCAAAGGAGGAAAATGTTTATAATAAATATAAAAGAAATACTCCCAAAGAATACAAACATACTCAAATAATTATCATTAAAAGTTATTTAATAATGATGATATGATCCAAAAAAAATATATATATAAGATTTGTGATACTACTACACAAGCCCAATCCTGAAACAAATCCATTACTAAGAAGGGCCAAATTTTTTTAAAAAAATTTATATAATTTTGAGATAATTTTTTTATATTTTTTTATATTACTTTTAAAAATAATTTTATCTTTTTATATATTTTCTTTTTATATCCAAATATAAATTTGTGATATGATATTAAATTCTTGTTATTTATATTATCATTTTTTTATGTATTATATTCGTTAATGAGTAAAATATATTTTTGGACTATAAATTTTTTTAAGTGATTTTAATCCTTCAAAATTTTGTCTTATTTTGATCTTTTAATTTGAAGATGAATCTTTTTTGATTCTCAAATTTATTTATATAGCACTTAATAATAAATGATAAAATTAAAATAAAAAATATAATATATCTCTTTTATATTTGTTAACATTATATTTTGTATTTAATGTAATAAAATATATTATTTTTAATTAAATAATATATCTATTTATATGATATAAAGGTTCAAACCAATAAGTCGTACTTTAAGTGATATTGAACTCGGTCTTCTTAAATAAGACATCATGTAATCAACTAATTTTTGTAATAAATGTTAGTCATTAGTGAAATTGATAAATATCATATCAATAACATAATTGTCAAAAAAAAAATATAAGTCTATACATGTTATTGTTGGGATAAAAATAAGGTCCCACGTTAGTAAAATAAGAAGAGAAATAATAACTTATAAAACACACATATACTTTAATGATAAAAATGCCTTTTGAGTGATAATTAAAAATAAAATAAAATAATCTCATATTTAGTATCAAAGTCGCAAGTTGTTGTTAATGATAACCTTATATCTTCTTAGAATTATGGTCCATAAAATATTAGAACTAACCATGTTACTACGGTACATATGTGTTTAGTTTTGAGTTGGTGCGAGTTCCACGTACTTTCAAACCATTCCATAAATCATTTATTATTTATATAACATCTTTTATACATAATTAAATATTAATATTAATTAAAAATATCAAATACACTTTATTATTCTTTTATTTGTTAAGAAAACATGTATTAAACGAGTTTTGTATTTTTATACAATAATTCCCAATGCAATAATTTTTTTTACCCTTTATTTTCTCAACTAGTGACATTAAAACACTTGTTAACATCTTGTTAGAAAAAAGGAATAACACACTATTATTTTTATTATATTAATTTGAAAAAAAAAGAAGTAAAACCAATTTAAAATATAGAAAGTAAAACTAAATTTGACCGAAAATAAAAGTGCTTAAAACACATTTCAACCGTTTTTTTTTTCTTTTCAATTTAGCAAAAGACATTATTCTACTGCCACATTCGAAACTAGCGCTAATTAAAAAGACGAAAAATAAGCACATTAGAAGATGATGATAGGAAAGACCCATCTGATACATCCATTAAAAATGGGCATAGCCATATTTATTATCAATTTTCCTTAATTAGTATTGAAGAAGCAAATCAGTGGGGAATATATCCTCTGGCATATGATCCATTTTCCTTAATGAATAGAGACATGGACAAATTTGCAGTTAAAAATAGGCATAGGCACTTGTTTCTTCATGATCCGATGCATTTGAAGAGACCTCCATGATGTTACTGGAACTTGAACACGATGAGGATGTACAAGAGTGTGTGTTACTGTTACTGTTACTGTTACCTACCATCATAAAATCAAACAACCTTGGATGACTTTCAACATGCATATGCTTCTCACCACTAACGCTGCCATCACTTTCTACACTTCTTTTCTTCATCCATAAGCGACACAGAACCCAATCTCCTATCTCGTTTACGTAGTTCTGCCAATATCCAACCCAACATTAGTCATATATTTTATATAAATACTTCATTTTTTTTTAATAATTATGTTATTATTATAGACACTAATTTTATAGATCCCTAGCTAAATTTTTATTAAAAAAATTTAATATAATTTTTCTTTTCAATTATTTTTTATCCATAAAATTTGAACATGTGTGTATAACATTTTAAAGTTGTCTAGACCTTATTTTAATAAAGAAAAAAAACTTGAATGCAATAATATAGGTAATGTGTGTCATTCTTCCATCAGAATTTAATTTTTTTTTATAATTTACATAATAAAAGATTTTATCGATTACTATATACATTATCAAATTAAAACTCGAATTCTGATGCATTAACAAGACACGTAAATTTAATCTTTTTGGCTGATACTTGACGAAAACTTACATAAGATGAGTTGCAATTAGCACCAGTTTTTTCAACACTGGCGAGGCGATATTCGTGCAAGATCCATTGAGTTCTGGAGCCTTTAGGAGATTTTCCTTCATAAAAAATCAATGTTTTTCTTATCCCCACAATACCACTACACGTTGAAGATGATATTCTCTTGTCTGATCCCGTTGCTTTCCAATAGCCACACTTGGTTGTTCGATTCATGCGATTACCATTTCGATACTTTGCTTCCTTCGGACTGAAAAAGTACCTTTCTTGATGATCACAATTCCCTGAAAAAAACAAACATTCTTAGCACATATAGTACCCGTAGAACAATCACTAGATTTTTAGTGATATTTAATATAATTTTTAGTAGTAATAAAAATTGCTACAAAATCTTTTACCAGCATTTCACACATCAACCATTGTATGCAGTGTCGCTAAAACATTTACCGACAATTATTCTATATGCTGGTAAAGACCCTCATAATGGTCGAAAAAAATGTATAACTTTTTGTGTCATTTGTTACTGACATTTAAAATTGCCGCGAAAAGTTTAAGAAAAAATTTATAATACTCTTTAATTATCTTATTTTTAGTCGATGTAAGACTTGTAAGATGAGTACAAATATTCTTTAGTTACCTTATTTCTAATTGATGTGAGACTTAGAAGATGAAGGTTATCTTCTAAGTATATATTCTTTAATTTTTTTTAATTATTTTATCTCCTAAATACCAACTTAAAATAGTAAGTTATATGTCTAACTCAACCTTATAAAACATACTTGTAAGGTGAGAGTTATCATTCACTTATATACTCTTTAATTATTTTATTTCTAGTCGATGTGAGACTTAAGTGTTTTCTAACAAATAATTGTCACTAATAATAAATTTTGATGTAATATAAATATATTTTTAGTGACTATTATATAATAATCATTAATATTTTTATTAAATAATAAAATACAGGTAATTAATTTATTGTTATTAAATAATTATTGATAATACTAATTTTTGTTGTAGTGAATGTTAATGACACATTTTGTTTAATCATATGTAATTATTTTAGCAATGTAAGGCAAGCTATATAAGTAAAGACAGTCCTTATTAAGTTAGGTTAGATTATTATTGATGACAAAGTTTTTTTTTTAAAGTATTTATTGCAGATGTATGTTCAAGACTGGTACTTAAAACTATTGATGAAGTCGAAACAATTTGTACTTGTTGATCATGTGTTTGTTGATAATGTACATCTAGTTATTGTTATTTTAAAGAAATAACCTCTTATTTTTACTAATTTTTGAATTAAAAAATGAAGGGAAAATAAAAAATATTTGAAAAAAGAATTGTTACCTGGCAAATCCCAAGGATCATGTTTGCAGACATTGATCTCGGGAATGATAGAAGCAGGCAAAGGGTAGGAGAAGACCTTACATTTCAAGTATTGGAAGACAAGTTCTTCATCTGTTGGCTGAAAACGAAAACCAGGAGGCAATTTGCTCACTCCATTTTTAACAAAATTCAGCTTTTCCATTTGCTTTGAGACTTAAAACCACCAAAGAAATTAAGGAGGGAAAAGATACTTTTGAACGCCAAGTGAGGGTGAGGGTACAAGCACTTGAATGAAATGAGTTAGTTGGTATTTATATATATGGACTCAAAAATATGAAAGAGAAAACAAAGTTAGTCTTAATTTGGAAAGAGGGGACTATACTTAACATACTAAGTTTGATGTTTGACAATTAATCAAACTTTTTTCCCTTTCCCACCACCAGATCTTGAAAGATATTTTAATTAGAACTTTGCTCTACCCCACCTTTTATGTGATAAATACTGACACAGTTCTTTTCTTTTTTAACTTGGCTAGATTTTGTAAATAGATAAGCTACTTTTTATTTATTTTTTTTATTTTCAGCATTATAGATAAGGTAATTATTGTAAAATTTATTAAAATAAGTTTATAAGAACTAAATTTGATAAGTTATATTGATTAAGTTATTCATCTAAATATATTTAAAAGACCATCTGAAGTAACGTTTAAGAAGTAAACATTGGTTTGAAGTTTGTTCATCTAATATGTACACGTTGTTGACTATTTTTCGAGTCTGGTTGTTGGATTTTTACTTTGGGGTTGTTGTCTTGTTGAATTTGCGAGACGTCATGTCATGTGGAGTCATGCTTTCATAAATATACACACGCACAAGATTACCCTAGTTGAGAGGATGGTGTGGTTTAATTTTTTTTTCACTGTTAATTAAATTTTATAAAATTAACTAATAAAATGAGAGTTAACTCGTGTATATATATATATATATATATAAAATTTTTATTGATCTTATTTTCAATTGTCACATACTTAAATTTTTTTAATACAGTTCTTAAATTTAGTGGTAAAGGTGGATAACTTTTTTTTAATAATTATTTTTACAAAAAAATTAAATTAAAATAAGATATAATTTTATATAAGGTCAGAATTAGTAACTAATTTTTATGAAAATTTTTTAGTGAGATTACGAATTGTTTTACTCCATCTCTTACATAAATTTGTGTGGAAGAATATAAAAGATAAGAAAAGTCATATTTAATCTTAACTAGCAGAAATATAAAGACTTAACTAATTATTTTTGACTGAGTGGAAATAATTTTTTTGGGAGAGACAGAACCGGGTCTATATATAATTATAGTGTTTATATATATATATATATATATAAATCTAAATCACATAATCTAAATTAAAAAAAACAAAACTTCTAATGGTGCAAATGAATAGTAAAAAAATTGTATAGAGCAAGCGTACGTAAAGAAAGACGTAGATAAGACATGTGTATTATTTCATAGATCTCCAGGATATGCATATACAAGTAAATTGAATTCTTCACGGCGAGTTTATGATGAAATTAAACCCAATTATATATGTTCCATCGAATCACATTAGCCTTGAGTCTTGTGTTCTTTAATTAGCATTTATAGCATGTATTTTAAAGTCTGCAACTTATTTGTTGCTAAAATAGAGAGTTTTAAACGACGGGGGAAAGTACGTATCAAACTTCTGGTAAAAAAAAGTAAGGCAAACTCTGAGTCAGCGCCCCTCAATCTCATGCACGTAAGAATAATAGACAACCTTATTACACAAATAGATAGAATTCCAATTATCATAATTAAAGTAGTACAAATAATTCGAACAAAATATATATTCTTAATTAATCCATTATAGTTATTGATATTTTTTTCCTCCTATATGAACCACCCAAGGGATTGTTATATAGGAAACTCTTGCATATATGAACCACCCAAGGGGTTGTTATATAGGAAACTGTTGCATGTAATATTGTGATGTCTGCTCTCTGCACATCATTAGTATTTGTCTGAAACTTTAGATTATTCTTTTTATGTCACTATAAGAAAATTGCCACAAAGTAACACACATCTTGTAATGATATAATATATGTTATTAAAAACTACTTTTACTCATATAATAAGTATAATATATGTTGATATATTATTAAAAATTGTAAGTATAAATTATAGTGATACACAAAATATATTATTAAATCTCATTTAAAATTAACATTAAAATTATATGTAGTTATATGTCAAATAGGTATATACCTACATATATTATATTTATAGTGACACTTTTTATATTTTGTAGTGCGTGGTCATAATGGTGCAATTTTTCAAGAATCATGAACAAACTAATTACGTACCCTTATCTTGACTTGCTTTCTTTTTTGTTCTTTTATCTAAATTTACCATATTTAACGTTTCCCAATAGTGGATTTGCCATATAAAAATATATAGTGTGATAATATCATATAGGCTTTTGTCCTCCTTTATTTATGAATTTGAGTTATTAATGGATAGATGACTCAGACCCACTTTATATATGTCCCTTTAATATGCCATGCCGCGACTTTTTTATTTATTTAATAGTTTTCTTTGCCACGACTTAGTCCGACTACGTCCAATTTTAGTTTGTCATTAGTTTGCAGAAAATTGAATCCGGAAAACGAGGAAATTAATTAATTTAAAGGAGAAGCAACAGAGTAATGTTTTGACTAAAAAGCAGAACCACGATGTAGTCAACTATGATATATACTGAAACTTTGGTGTACCTCCTTAAGAAAAAGGAATGGTACTTTCCTTCACCAAGAAGATGTTGATTTAAAGAGCTTTGCTTTTGCAACGTTGTAAATCAGATTTTGAAAGATTCACTCCCTCTCTAAAACCAAAAAGATGATCAAAGTTCAAGTTGCACATTTTACATGGTTAAACTTTAAATCCCTTTGCTTAAGACAGCAGAAACAGAAGCTGCCCTTTATATCCTTTAAACGAGTTTCTTATAGTCCACAGCCACTTCACACATGGGCATCATTTCACTTTGTAGTTTATAATGCATATTAAGCATTACTTTCCATGATTATTGTTGCATGATGAATAGAGTATGTATAGAAATAAACCAAAATCTAAAAAATATTGTAAACTATAATAATAAAAACACAGTCCTTATAACCTTACTTGATTTTTTTATTAATTTGGTTTATATATATAAATAAACACTTTATTCACTCACGTATGAATTGGTTTTTTTAATGCATGTATTCACTCCTCTCTCTTCATTTATTTATGTGGAGCCTCTCCTACAAATCATATCCTCTCTTTTTTTGACGCATTATATTATTTTTCAGGCTTCATATAAATCTCGTGCCAAAGTGTGTTGTGCTTTTTGTTTACGTACCGTAGAAAAGGCATGCTATGCTTAACGCCTAAGAAACTTGGTCAATGATTTTCGTTATCACTTGCAGTCGATTAGAGAATAGCTAACATGCATTCACACAGTTTACACAGCTCATTTTAAGACTTTAATTAATTACTATATATATATATATATATATATATATATATTTCAACAAAAAAAAAACCGTATCAACCCATTTCTAGTGGGAAATTGGAATACATTAAGCAGTTATAATTTAAATTATCTTAAAATATGACTGCAAAGAGGAAGAAAGCGTTGATGAGGAAAAAGAAAAAAAAAACAAAAAAGAAGAAGAAAGGACAAAATAGGACCAAAATAAATAAAATAGGACTAAAATATAAAAATGAAACACGTGTTAATGTTATGTCTGGGAAAATATAGGTATCACTCTCGTCACCACATCTATTGTTATCGGTGTCAAGTTTATTTTAGCATCAAGTGTTGGGATAAATTTCTTAAGCCAGATAGAAATTTTCTATTAATCAATATTAAGAACCGTTGTCTCAGATTACAGAGTTAATGTTAATAATACGTACTTGTATCCATTGACGTTGATCAAAAGGTTGCAACAGAATAGTTTTTTGGTGCAATGATTTTCCTCAGCCAAATCACTCGATTCCTTGATGGGACTTGATGTTACTCTTCTAATGGGGAGACAGAGAGACGTGTGTTTCTGATTTAGCATATTGGGGACCATGACCATCTTTATGATTTTAAACCTATTAGGGTTCTCATTAATCCCTAACGGGCCAAATCTGGTTTCCACTTATATGGGCCCATATCAGTTTTTCCTGTTGGCAGTCTAAAGGCTCACTAAAATTAGATCACTTTTATTGAGCCCAACTAAATGTAAATAACTAATATAAATACTACAAATAATATATGCAGCCCACAATAATTATTAGAAATAAAATTTCTAACAATCTCCCACTTGGGCTTTATATTCATTTAAGTATTTATATCACAAAAATATTTAGGCGCGCAACCGTATGTTATTTACTTTTAGACTCCCCTTAAACAATCTGGTCCATCTCATACAACAACAGGGAACCACTACAGCTTTCATCACTATCTAATGTGACTAAACCATAATGATCACCACAATTGTATGCACTCAATGACATAGATCAAATATGGATAAGTGGCATAGAAATTACATGCAACGTGATCTTAGTCATGTTCACTTCTGGTGAGAAAATATTTCTTTATTGCATTGTTGCACAATTAACTCACTTATGGTGAGAAAATATTCCTTTATTGCATTGTTGCACAATTATCTCACTTCCGGTGAGAAAATTAAAAATTCAAAAATTTCTACATTTGACAATGTCTTCAGGATCATTGCAAAATTGTTACATATACAAATTTATAACATTCACAGAAAATTATACAATTTCACAAAAATTCTCTTTAATAAAAATTCAATTTTTAATCGATCTCTTTATTCGTATAATCAATTAAACCAAATTGAAGCAAAAAAATGACCAACGCATTGAAATACACGTATTATCAATGAAGAGAGAAAAAAAAATTGTAACAATACACTTTAGAACCCCATAACCTAATAACAACGACGGCTCTGATACCACTTGTTGGGATAAATTTCTTAAGTCAAATAGAAATTTTCCATTAATCAATATTAAGAACCGTTGTCTCAGATTATAGAGTTAATGTTAATAATACGTACCTGTATCCATTGACGTTGATCAAAAGGTTGCAGCGGAATAGTCTTTTGGTGCAATGATCTTCTTCAGCCAAATCACTGGATTCCTTGATGGGACTTGATGTTACTCTTCTGATGGGGAGACAGAGAGACGTGTGTTTCTGATTTGGCATATTGGGGACCATGACCATCTTTATGATTTTAAACCTATTAGGGTTCCCATTAACCCCTAACGGGCCAAATCTGGTTTCCACTTATATGGGCCCATATCAGTTTTTCCTGTTGGCCGTCTAAAGACTCACTAAAATTAGATCACTTTTATTGAGCCCAACTAAATGTAAATAACTAATATAAATACTACAAATAATATATGCAACCCACAATAATTATTAGAAATAAAATTTCTAACATCAAGAACTAAAAGAAAATTGAAGTGTTGGTATATATAGAAATTAAAATTGATAATTTTTAAGTATCAATATATACTAAATGATAAAGTTTGTGAAGCCAAGAGTGATATTTTAGTATGCTGTATTTTCCCGCTTTTGTGTTTATCGCAAGAAATTAGTTGGAATATCACAAAATTTTCCATGGTTTCACAATTTTGTAGCCGTGGCAAGTGTTTACAGGAGCTACTTGATACACTTTGAACTTGAATAGTATACTGTTGGATTTATAGGCAAGTGCACCCAAGTCTCTGTAGTATAATTAAAAAGTTGTCGAATCCTCAGGGACTTGTGAAGTAAGCTATGATTTCTATTATACTAATAGATGAGATATATATATATATATATAAATCAAAGAGGAATACACAGGAGTTTGATGACTACATTAATCCCAAACCTAGAGTTTTAGCTCTCCATGGTACAAGAAATCACAAAACAACAAGATGAAAGGTAGAAGAAAGAGATCCTCTGAAGAATCGCGTCCCCACGAGCTCCAAAGTGCTCTGTTTCCTCGTTCCTCTCTGTTCTTCCCTTCGTACAGCTTCTGATCCCCTTTTTCTCTCTCCTCTACCCTTTTATAAGTGCTAGAATTAAAATAGAGTAGGCAGGAAAGAGAAGAATCCGCTCAGCGCCTTGAAACGGCTGAGCGGTTTGAAGAATTCTTCACCATGAAGTAATCTGAAGGGCTGAGCCGTTCAAATCCGCTGAGCGCCTTGGAGATTCTTCACTGTTAAGCAAGGACAAGGGACTGGGCGCTTCATATCCGTTGAGCGCCTAGGAGGCAGAGAATACTCCTTCTTCCAGGGCCAAATCCGCTCAGCGCCTTAGAGTGGCTGAACGCCTCTTCTTTGCTACATTTGTTAAAATCTCTGGCTTGAAAGCGCTCAGCTGTTTCAAGGCGCTCAGCCGTTTGCCTCCAGATTCAAAAACTTGAGCTCTCTGGCTTGAAAGCACTCAGCCGTTTCAAGGCGCTCAACCGTTTGCCTCCAGATTCAAAAACTACAAAATAAGAGGAAAATCTGATCAAAAACTCATCACTCCATGTAATAATGTAAATTAAGAGCCCCTCTTTGATTCTTAATGTATTTGCCAAAATTATATCAATATATATACAAAAAGTGTGTTAGATAAGTGTCTCAAATTTAAATTTCATCAAACTAATTAGACACTTATCATATACGGGTAAAGCTGAAACAAGCTTCTTGGAACAATGTATTAACCTGGTAGTTATGCAGAAATTCTGGAATTAAGTGGCTTCGGATTTTTTTATATACCACTAGTACCCTCCACTTGGAGACCATTTTATTTGAGTAACATAGGCCTATTAATTATAAGTAATAAAATTCTTTATTTTTTATTATTTAACACAATTATATGCTTAAAAATTAAATTTATCTTATTAATTGATCTATGTGTTCGTAAATAGAGTTTTTAATTAACTTTGAGAACTTTTTATTCATTTTTTAAAATTAATTATAAAAATACTTCTATTTTTGTTTTATTTTCATTTTATTTCTCACTTTGTATTTATTTGACTTTTGACAAGTGTTTCAGTTGTGTCAAGTAATAAATGGAAAGTCTAAGTATCAAAATCATTCAATTTTAGTAATTATCTCCAAAAGTACTTATAGGAGACTAAAATATATAGAAAAGAGAAATGAAATAATTTTTTTTCATAAGTTAAAATTAGTTTATGTGTAAGCTATTTTGTAAAAGTTATCTTCTATTAACTTTTCTAAAATCTTATTTTTTTACTCATGCAAGAACTAGTTTTAGCTTATGAAAAAAGTTTGTTTAAATTTTATTTTTTTTATATATTTTTTATCTATTAGTATTTTTAAAGAAATTTATCTAAATATATCCTAAGTCTCTTAATTAAAATCTCAACTTCTTAATAAATTTAATTAAACAAGTTGGATTTGGATAAAAAGTTTTCATCACCAAACTCACTATTTGAAAACTAATTTTGTTCAAAATCACCAGGTAAAATGAGTATAACTAACTCCTCTCCCTAGACTACATTTCTCTTTCTTCTGTCGGTATTATGTATACTTTCCATATTTTGGGCTTCCCATGAATAGAGCCCACCAGCTGATCCATGTCTTGCACACCTTCATCTTTTACAATAGCACATATTAAATTAATCCGTTGTGGCAGACAAATCTCTTTTAAACTAATTATTGTTTGAATTCTTGATAGTATTTAAAGCCCAAGCATTTAGGGGGTTTAAAATAAGCAGAAAATACAGAGCGCAAGAAGACACATGATCAAGTGTGGACCGGATGTGTATACAAGAAACTTGAACCGAATGAGTTAAGGTGCCAATTGTATGACATAAAGAAGATAAAACCAGATGGTAGAGAAAATTATTTTAGGGTGTTAATTTGATAGTGTGTAACAGAGTAAGTGTCAAGTTAGAATCATAACATCCTTTATGGTATAAAGTTTAGCAGTTCTAGCTAGTTTTCCTTTGTTGTTTTTGAGAATAAAGAAATGCCTAAGCATCATTATTTGATTGTTATTTATGGAAGTCGGTAGTACTTGGGGTTGGAGGTTTAAGTTGGTGTGCCACTTATAAGTTGCCAAAGTCTTTTTTATAGGTGTTGTTTTTCCTTTCTTAAAGATACCTCTATTTGATCTGACATATTTGCCATATATTATTGTCTTTCAAATTGTGCAATCGTTATATTGAGACGAGCGTCCTTATCATGAAAAGGATTCAGAGTATGCAATGAAAAGATCAAGGATCATATATCTACGTGCTTCCTCGGTTGATGATTCCAGTTTTAAATTACACTTTGGTCGAATGCCCGAATCATCAATCTTAGTATTTCGTTGTTTATTAATTTTGAAAATTAATTTTCATCATCTCCAATTTTAATTTTTCTTTTAGGCATCTTTAAAATCTAGTTGTTTAAAACAACAACAGTAATACATGGACACCTTTAACAGTATACAAACTCATTTAACACCTCTTTTTCCATTATTTTTTTTAATCACATATTACACTGTCATTCTTCCCTTTTCTGTCTTTCTCTCATGATGTAAACTAGCATTTGATGTCCCGAAAACATTATTCTCTCAAAATATCCACAAAACATTTAACAAAACCTGTATCTTGCTCATTACTCGTTTGAGAGTCTAATTTACATCTCTCAAAATGTCTAATATTGCTGTTTTGAACTTTTAATTTACATCACTATAATTGTCCTGGCAGGTAGGCTCACGCTGTATTTGAGTAACTGGGCTTAGCAGCCCAATTTGATTCCCCAACTTCTGCTGTGCTGTCCGGAATTTCTGCAATTATTTCGTATACAGGCCCAGGCTGTCCATTTTCTTGTCCCTCTTCTCCTTCCGTGGGAAAGGTCCTGCTTAAATTCAGGGACTTTTCAGTCAATTCACTATCTTTCCTACGTGATTCATTGTTAAACCCGTCTCTATAATCACTTTCCTCGTCTCGCTCGTTGTTAATTGAACTCCCTACTAATTCCATATTCCTCCGCGTTCGTTTCAGCACTGGGCTGAAGGACCCAATATCCGTTCTTCGATGTGAATCTAATGGCTCCTTTGGAACTTTAGACCTGAAATTGTTCTTCGATGGAGGAACCCTGGTGCAGAATACTTCTGCGAAGTTCTTAATTATCCCTCTGTTATATGGGTTGACTTGGTGGTTATACCGGTATCTAAAATTTTCGTAAGTAGACTGCACATAAGACAATGAATTTTCATCAACATACGTAAGAAAACCAAACTAGAAATGGACTCTGATGTTTCATTGTTTACATGTTGTATCCATGTAGCAGACTACATGGTTTCAAACGTGGAATGCAATAAACGATGATTGCATGCTTACAAAAATAGTGAAAAGTCAAATTTAAAGTTTGAAAGGATGATGAGGGCTAGCAATTCACTCTTAAACACATTTTATTTTTAGTTAAAATTTATTTAAGACTACAAAATCAAGAAAGACTTATTAATAAAAAGTGGAATCTAAAAAAAAATTGTAATTTTCAATAAATTCTAGTTAATACTAAATCCCGTGTTTAAAAAATTGTATTGTTAGCATTTCTCTCGAAAGGATTATGAGCTGGATGGCATTCAAACCTGGTTTGTGCTGATGAGGTAGGTGTGGAAAACAGTGAGGCCGCCAACAAACCAGACACAAACGAAAGTGTAGATTATTAGCGCAATGGATGCTATAGTTTTGGTCATTGCTTTCCAAATTGATATTTTCTCGGAGTCCTTGATCCTCCTAATGTAGACCCAGCAAAAGGCATGCACGTATAAGCAAAGCAGAGTGGCAGACAAAATAAACATGTAGTAGAACCGGTAATTTCGCTGCAGCCAAGTACATAAAAAAAAAAAAAGAAAAAAAAAAAAGGTGATTCAGCAACTTCCCGATTATATTCATATCTAATACAAACATGATTGTTTATTAATTGGTGCTGTTCCGTTATACCTCGACGAACCAAAACAGGTAATCAAACAAATCTTATCAGAACAATAAAAAAAAAAACTGTTGTTTGTGATGTGCTTGTCGCATTGTAAGTGATAACAGACAATTGCCAAGACACGTACAAAATAATCATCAATTACGATTTTTTCTCGAGGGTAGATAAACTATGCATTCATTCAAGAATATGATCAACATACTAACAATTACTATATATATAACCTATGATTCTATGGGCAATGACTATCTCTCCTCCGATAACAATTTATGTTGACTGCGCTTTCAATTAATTTTATGTATTATCTAAAGTTTCCCATCAAAGGAGTATGATATTCAATACGGTTAGCAAATATAATTACTAAAAGCCTGCCTATCTCTTTCTCAATGGTAATTCTGATTATGCCCACATCTATTTTTTGTTAGCAAGTGACCAAGCATTTGAACACAGTAAACTAATCATTCGAATATCCCAGTAAAAATTTACAAGGCCAAGAAGATTTCATCAAATAGTAAATTAGTGACATAAAGAACAGCATTTAAATTAGAAGTAAAGCGCAAAAAATAATCTTCTAAATTCTAAAGACTGAGAAATTGTTCCTTGGATACCATGAATGTTAAGTTGTGAAACAAAGGGCGTTACCAGTCCAATACACTGACCCACCCATGGGCAGTGATGATCAAATCTCTCCACGCAGTTATCACAGACTGAACAGTGAGAAGCGCGGATGGGTCTATAGAGCATGCAAGTTTCACAATATTTGGTTTTCACTATTATACCATTGACAATTACATCCTTTGTTCGTGGTAAGCGTGACAATGGATTTGTTCCATTGATGCTGTCAGTCCAGTAATAATCATCTAGCTCCGGAGGATGAGCATTACGAGGGACTATGCCTGGATCTCTTGATGAGGTCACTACAAGGGTGACCAGAACCTGTGAATACATTTCAAGAGTTAGGAGCTGGTACGGTGGCCAATGACACAGATTGTGCTGTAACAGATCTTGATAATCACGTCATTTTTTGGTCATTTAAGTAGAGGCAAAAAAATACTAGAGTAGTGCATCCTAGAATTTGTTTATCCATATATATATAGTTGCCCACAAATAATTGATGATGGCATTAAAATTATGAAAGTCTTGGTACAACAACTAAATGCTAAGGTTTATATCTTATTCAGTGCGTAGTTAAGAAAGCAGTACAGATGATTTTTATATCTGACTAATATTAATAATTAGAATCTATGAAATTTTGCTTCACTTCAAAATGGTACTCTCTTCTTTTTCCCTCTCAAAACTCTGCCTCCTATTAGCATTTGTGTCATTGCGTGGCATACTAGCCAGTAGCATAACAAGAGATTCATTTAAGTTTATCGAAATGTGGTTGGAATATTAGCAGAAAATCCAAATGTTATCTGAGAACAAAGAATAAAAGTCTAAGAAAATAATGTTTTTCACTTCACTAAAAAAAAGTTCCTTTCAAAATATAATGGTGTGTTTTGAATGCCTTTTGACTTTTCAGCCATTCACCTGTATAATTTTATTGAATTTATTACATCGTTTGTAATAGAAAATGATATGTAACCAAGACTTTTAACATCAATTGCACTATATGCAGAGTAGCAGACACAGTATTAATGGATTGAAATGGAAAAATGTATTTTTGCTTTAGTCCTTTGCTTCGAGATGAGAAGTCATCGTTATCATCATTCTTATAGCAGGATTTTCTAGACATGCCACGTTAAAGAAGTCAAAGCTAACATGTATATTTGGATCGACTTAACTTATCGAAAAAAAGGGGCATGATTCCCGAAAGTATAATTAAATACACATATTCTCAATATCTTATCAGATATTGTATTTGAATCAATCGAATAGAGAATCCTAGTATACTAAAAATAAGAGTTTATAAAGGTAAATATCGACACAGTAATATAAAAATGCGAAATTACTCTATCGTGATCCTAGGTTTTAGGGCACCTCCTCTATCAGATTGTACCTTGAAGCAACAAAGCGATAGTCATTCATATATTAAAGGGGAATATTAATACGCATCGCCTAAAATAAATAAATAAAAATATTTATCTCCTACACATTGGCACAACATTTTCTTTTTTATAACAAAGAAATGGATATATAAAAAAAATATGAAGCTTACGATAAGATGTTAATGTTGCGGATAGAGTTAAATAAAGAATTAGAAACATACATGTGTTTTTTTCTCCATTTCATTGCTACCTAATTTTCTTCTAATTAAAATGAACATAGATGAATGGAAGATGGCATAGAATAAGAAAGAAGACATACGAAAAGTGTGAGAGCAATAGCTACAGCCATTATTGACCATCCGGAGTAATGAGGAAAATCATCTAACAGTTTCCTAGCAACCATAGCACAGAACACAGCGACAGGGACGAGCACAAGAAAAACGGATATAAATATAGATTTGACATCAGGTCCAAATATAAGTCTCCCTCCAAAAAGAAAAACCTGAAAAAATTGAAGAACGAATTGTGACAGCAAAATTCAAGTATTCAGTTAAGAAACAGCGCATGAGTTGAAAGACCTAAATCGATGAGAGAAAAGTGATTGGGGAAAAGAAGAGAGAGAGTTGCGTGTGAGTTACGTTACTGCCTTGCCAGACGCGGTAGGTTCTGACGAGCGAGGGAGCGGAGGTGGCGCCGGAATCTGGACTCTCCGGCGGCGGCATTGTATGCGTGTGGGAATTATAGAGTTATGACAATGAATTGAATAAATGAATGAATGAATGAAAGAAAAATGAAGACACGAAAACAACGACGCCGCATCTGGTCAAAGCCTCCAAGGGTGAACCAAAGGCCATGTTTTCTCTCTCCTCCTTTTTCTTTTTTAATTTATTTTCTCGCCATTCCTTTGACTTTCCAAATATTCTTTCTATATATTTTCATTAAATTCCTTTTTACTGAATAATATCATTAACTTTTGGTTTAATACCAGTGGAAAAGGGTTTTTGACGGACATGAATCTTGTAATAAAATTAACGGTATTAAGTTTGGATCCCATTTATTTACACGCTATAGATTTTTTTTTTAAAATATTTAATTGTTTCATTTAAAAGTTTGGCAAGCTAAAAACTATTTACATGACTTATTTTATAAGGTCTATAAAAAGTCTAATATATTTATGAGGAATAATAATATATTTTATTAATATACTCAATTTTATTTTTTTAAGAATTTATTGAAAAATATGACATGAAGAGAATTATTGAGTAAGATGTGAGGTTCATCAAATTTTGTATTTTTTTAATAAATTTTAATAGGTAAAGGTGACAATGAATATAATTAACTCCAAAATAATTTGAAATTTAATTTAATATTTAACTCATTAAATTTGATTAATGAAATAAATGAGTTAAATTTAAGTTAAAAATTGAATTTGATATAATTTGAATTAAATATAATTCAACTTGTTTAGTTCATAAATTGAGTCAACATATAAATATATCATTTGTGTAATTAAATTTTTATTTAATTTTAAGTTATTAAAATTTGAGAAAAAAACTCTTCAAACCTTAGTTGTAAGTTAGTATTAATAATAATAATAATAAGTGAAAAGTTTAAAATTTTATGATTATGAATTGAATTTTATATTATTTTATCTAAGATAAAGTAAATTTTACTTATAAAGATTTTAATTGTAATTGTATCTCTTAATAATTATATATTGTCATTTTGCAAAATTAATAGAATAAGTTATATTTTATCTTAAAAAATAAATTAAACAATCATTTTATCTAAAAATTTATTATTAAATTAAAATTTTAAATTGTATAAAATAAAAAAAAACTTTTAATTCATGTGATTCGAACTAATAAGTTAAATCAAGCTACTAGAGAGTTTAACTGAATCAAATTTGAGCTAGAAAAAATGTTCATATCAAACTCTAGTAGAGTTACAAGCTAGATTAAATATTATTGAGTCGAGTTGAGATAAATTGAAATTGATTTAATTTGACTCATTTCCAACCCTATTTACAAATATAAAAAGATAAATTATTTATCATATTAAATATAAATAATATTATATTATATGTTAAATAAGTCAATTTATAAGACATTTTTAGAAACATAGTTATTTTAGTTAAGAACTTTTCGAAAAACATAAGTCTAACTTTTTAATGGAAAGGTTGAACCATCTTTTATAAATGTGTTCATTGAATCATTTCAACAATCTTGACAATCCAAATCGAACTAATTAAATTAGTTTGATTTTTTGTTTGTTTGAATCCAATCTAAACAAAATCAATTAAATTTGATGTTGATTGGTTTGACTATATTTACACATTAAAAATTTAAACTAACTTGAACCAAATTAATTAATTTATATAATAATTATTTTTTTAATTAACAATTAATATATATGTATCATTTTGATTATTTTAGAGACGTTTTTGTATTACAATATATAAATATTTTCTTCCCTTTTTCAAATGCTTAAAAGAAATCAATAATAATTATATTATAATATATTGAATGTCATTTTCACAAACGGTAGTGCCTTTGAAATCTTTAAATAAGTTTAAAATAAAGTCAAGAGGAACTATATTGCAAATTTATCAATTTAACTAATTTATGACAATATATCAATTTAGTTAATTTTGAAAAAACTATTAACTTTGAATTTTTTTTAAATTCATTGAATATTCGATGATCCAAACCGAACAATCAAATCAACATCATATTGGTTTAATTTGGTTAAACAAAAAAAAATTATCAAACTCAAACCAATTGAATTAAATTTTCACTTAAACCTAAATGAGTCCGACCCGTGAACATTCTTACATTTTCTCTTAGTTCTTAGTTTCACACTTTCTTATGTGTATAATTTTCGTTATACTTTTAATTGAATGATTTTTGTTTTAAATTTTATTATATTATGTGTTAAAATTAATTTTATTCACATAAGACATTTTATATTCAATTGAGAGTATAATTTATAAATCATTATCTATACATCTTTACATGTTATAAAGAGAATAGACGCTAAATAATCATTTTTTGTCTCCTTTTCTAGTGGACCATCATACTTCTCATTTGTTAAGAAAAAAAATAAAAGAAATAATCTCTCATTTTTTAGGTAATCACCCATAACTACTCATTCAATTTATCTTATTTTATTTATAATTTTTAAAACTTAAGAGCCACAGAGTGTTCTTTCCCTTATCTTAAATATAAAAATGATACCTCCCGCTGGTTTCCACATTTTTTAAAGATACCTTTTTATTATATATTATTTTTTTCCTACCATCATATCCTTGAATGTTTGTTATACAAAAAAATTAATTATCATCCATTTTATCAATAATAATTATCATTTAATTTTATAATTATTTTATTAAGATTATCTCTTTTTTTTTTTTTATAACTATATATATTATCTCATTTGATCTATCTATTATAATATCTATTACTTTTATTTAAATTTTTATATTATTTTGAAACAAAAATACACATATGCTCGATCCCATATTATTTGCATTAGTAATAGTGTGGACACAATATTGATCAAAGTCGATAGGCAGTCGTTGGAAGTACAAGATACACTTGAGAAAGGTAGGTTAATTGTAACTTGACTAGAGAGTCTAGAGTAAAGTTATTTTATAGCTACATCAGGGCAATCTATTGCTTATAAATACCTTGATGCCATTGAATTAAGTAAACATTAATTAACACATACCTTGATGGGTTAGGATTGACTTGAACGTCAAAATATCCATAACTTCACTCGCATCAGTTTTCAACTCGGTGGGCACACCAATCAAATTAAACCGATCTTAATTGAATTAATTTGATTCAATTTTTTTAACACCAATTCCAATTTTTGGAAAAAATCAAAACTCAAATCAACCTAATTAAATATAAAGCAATTAAAAATTAATTTGAAATAAAACCCAAACCAATCCTCCTGATTTGTTACCTTCCCTGTCAACCCAAATTTATCAAATCCCATCTTTGATCTTTTGCCATTACTCGTTTAAACTTTTAATTAGATCTCCAAAAGTTATAACGTTATGCATAGTGCAACCGGCTGAGTTATTGGGCCCAGCAGCCCAATTTGATTCCTCAATTTCTGTTATGCTGTCTGGAGTTATTTCATTGTCAAATCCATCTCTATTATCACTTTTTTCCTCTTGCTTTGGTTCATTGTAACTCCTTGAATTACTTTCTTGTTCCTTCTCTCTTTCTATGTGAACGATCGTGCTTAAATCTAGGGACTTATCGGTCAATCCACTGTCATTGCTTAAATCATGTTTATAATTACTTTCCACCTCGTTTGACTCTTTGTAAACCGAACTGATCTCTACTAATTCCATATTCCCGGGATATGAATCAAATGGCTCCCATGGAACCTTAGACCTGAAATTGTTCTTCGATGGAGGAATTCTAGTGCAGAATACTTCCCTCAAGTTGTTAATTATCCCTCTGTTATATGGGTTGTCTTGTGGGTCACACGGGTACTTAATGTTTTCGTAAGTAGACTGCACATATATAAGACAAAATGAATTCTCATTAACACTATTAAGAAAAATGAACCACATTATGTTTCACTGTTTGCATGTGCCATATCATTCATATAGCAGACTAAGTCATGTAGAATGCAATAATTGATGTATATGAGTCCAAACCTGGTTTGTGCAGATGAGGTAGGTGTGGAAAACAGTGAGGCCCCCAACAAACCAGACACCAATGACGGTGTAGATTATTAGCGCAATGGATGCTGGAGTTTTGGTCATTGCTTTCCAAATTGATATTTCCTCCGAGTCCTTCATCCTCCTAATGTAGACCCAGCAAAAGGCATGTACATATAAACAAAGCAAAGTCGCTGACAAAATAAACATGTAGAAGAACCTGTAGTTTCGCTGCAGCCATGTACATACAAGCAAAGGGTAAACAAAAAAGGTGATTTAGCACCTTCCCGATTATATTAGTATATACTTTAATACAAACATGATTGTTTAATGTTTATTAATTGTTGTGCCCTTGTGCTTGTCGTATTGAAAATGATATTGGACATGATCGAAGGTAGAAAAATACCAACATGCAAAATAGTCACCAACTATACGATTGGGGGGAGGGGGGAAGAGGATATATATATAAGAGTATCTATTCAAGAATATGTTGAGCATACTAACAAATACTATGAACTTGTGCAGACAAGAAACTTATAAACGATATTTAGTGATAACAAATTAAGGGACGTTTGTTACACGATAAATCTTTTTCATATTTGGGAATTATGAAGAATGGACGTTACCAGTCCAATACAGTGACCGAGCATGGGCAGTGATGATCAAATCGGTCCACACAGTTATCACAGACTGAACAATGAGAAGCGCGGGGGGGTCTATAGAGCATTAGGAGTAAGATGTACAGATGTTAATGACAAAGATTCTGCCTTCATAACCACATCCTTTGTTGCTCAAATAAGTAGAGGAAAAAAAAAATGCAACAGTAGTGCACTTCGGAATTTTAAAATTCAATTATAAATTAGCTAAAAAATTTAAAAATTATAAATTAGGGACCAAAAAATTTAAAGTTTATAATTAGTAAACTAATTGAATTAAAATTATTTGATAAAATCAGTTAATAACTTAATTGATAAATGTAATTAAAATGACAAAAATAATATATTTAATTATTTGAGATAAAACAAATTTCAAATAAACTACTTCAAGTAGTATAAAAAATAAACTACTAATATAAACTCATCTATTAAATAAATTAATTTTAATCAAATTATATTATAAAGCATATATATATATATATATATATATATATATATAAATATAAACACTCATAATAA